TCCACTGAGCAAGGAACAATAGAAAATATTTCTATTAATACTTAATTATCTACTTTTTATTTATTATTTTTTATATTTCAAATAAATAATAATGAATAAAAATCATTTCATTTCAATTACAATGATTCGTTGTGGTGTGAAATGTTCTGGAAGTTGTTTTCCACAAAGTGCATCTTCAATTCCTTTATATTCAAATGAATATTGAATACAAGATGATTTTGTTTTATTATTTTCTTTATAAACACGAATGTCACCAACTCCAAATTCAAACAAATAATCATCTGATTGTTTACCTACATAAAATGCATATTGTGGTTGTTTAATATCAAATTTATTCATTCCTTGTATTCTTCCTTTTGATTCTATTGAAAATAAAAATGATTTTGAATCATTTATATAATCATCAAATTTATCAATTTTCGCATTAACATATCCTCCAAATTTATTTCCATCAGAATCTTCAATAATAATTATTATATGTTCTTTATTCTTTTATCAAATACTGATGTGTTCCTATTCCAATCATCAATATCTGAATCAAATATTTTATTGGATACTTTTCTATTTGTCCATTCTTCAAGTTGTTTGATTTGAGTCGTAGGAATGAATAATTCATCTGGAGAAACAGTTGTGTTATTCATTAGATTGTTTATTATGGTATTGCTTGTTTGTTTTGTTGGAGCGTCTTTTGTTTTATTGATGTTTTCGTTCTTACTCTTTTCTATTTCATCTTTTCTCTTCTGAAGATATTTCTTTTTAAATTCTTCTTGTATCATTTCTTTTACTATTTCTTTATTAGTTGTGTTATTGTCCATTTTTTTCATAATTTTCTCTATTAAATACCCTTGTACTTCTATATCTAATGCATTGTTGTCTATTTCAATTTCATGGTCTTTAAGTTCTTTGCTTGTTCTTTCATTTTCTTCTTTTATTCTTCTTAGTTCTTCATGAATATCTTCTTCACTACCATGAATAACTTTAGAAATCTCTTGTATCGTTTTGTTTTTTGTTAATACCATTTCTAATTTGGTCTCTAAATCACAAATTCTTAATTCATGTTCTTCCATTATCTTTTCTATCATTGTCTTAAATTTTTCTAAATAAATAAACTCTGAAATTGCTAGTGCAGTGTTTTACTTATTTCTTGCTTTTCCATTGTGTTGTTATTTTTAAGTTATATCTTTAAATTAAAACTATTAATTTTACTTTTGTTTTATTTGTTCATAAACTATTAATTATTTCTTATTTCTTATTTTTACATTTTGAATTAAAAATAGAATAGTTTTATTGTTATTAATTTAAAATTATTATGTTTTATTTTATCATTATTTTTGAATTATTAGTTGAGAAATTAAAAATAAATAAATTTAATTTCAGTTTATTGTTTTTTCTATTTATTTTTGTTCTTTTTTGAATTTATTTTATTCTCTTAAATATTGTTCATAAGATACATTTGTTTTTCTATATCTTCAATATTTTCGTCACTACTTCATTAGCTATTTCACATTCCTTTTATATCTTTTATATTATTTATTATTCTTTTATCTTTCTTATTGTTTCATTATTATTGATACAAAACTAAAAATCTATGACAGTAATGAAGAGAAATGGATATATAAATAATAAATATTTGATATGAAAGTATTATGAGAAATATAAAGAGAAAAATAGAAACAACAAATATTACAAAATTAAAAAGTATTTGAAATTTTATTTAAAATGAAAACAAAGAATATGATAATATAACAAAATATGAATGATAAAATAATAAAGAGGATTAAACAAATAAGAATGAAGTTATAAATAAATAAAATTAAAGAAATATAACTATTGTCATAGAAAAAATGAATAATATATAACAAGAAAATAAATGAATAAAAAGAAAGGTAAAATAAAGAAAATAGTTGAAATAATAAAGATAATAGAAAAATAAATAAAATAGTATGAAACAATGGAAAGTATATAACAATTATTAAATTGTGATATAAACTTCATTTGATTTACTTTATTTTCATCATAACAATATTTACTTAAGAAAAAAAGATAATAATGAGAAAACAAATAATAAGAATAGTTGAAATCAATATTAAATTAAAAATAATGAAATATGTTATATTATTTATAAAGAATGAAAAAAAAAGAATGATAAATAATAAAATAATAAGAAATAAATAAAAATAAATAGAATCCTTATATAATTTTATAATTAATGATTCATTTGTTTTATTATATTATATATAATATTCAAATATATAGATATGATTAATTTAAATTAAATATATTATTAAATATTATGAAATATTTTATATATTCTTATTCTTATTCTTGTTTATTTCTATTTGTTATATTTTTATATTTCATATTTATTTATGTTTAATTGTTTATAATTGTTATTTGTGTTTTTGTAATTAATATCAATTTCAATTAATTTAAAAAAATTATCATAAAAAGTTTTCGTTTATTCAATACTTATTAATTTAACTTGTTATTTCATCTTTTTAAATTTAAAATATGAATTTTAAACATAATATCACTTTTTGTTTATTCTCTTTTATTTTTTTATTATTTTATATTTTATATTTTGAATATAAATTATTGTTTATTAACTATTATCTCATTGTTTATTTTTATTATTATATTTTAATCTGGTACTGAATTATTATAACTGTTATTAAATCTGATTTATTATTATTTTCAATATTTTGATAACTTATCACTCTTTTAAATAAATTAATAATATGTATAATTCACTATAATTTATCTTGTTATATCATTATATTACAATTAAATTGTATTTCATTAATTATTCATTAATAAATTATTTCATTTTTGTATTCATTATTAAAAATATTTTCATTTAAAAGAATAATGAACAAATATATTACAGAAACATCAACTTAATAATTTTATGTGTTAATTTTAAATAATTGAATCATTTCATTAATAAATGTTTTATTAAAAATAAATTAAACAAATATCATTAATAAATGAATTGATTATCATTTAATATCATTTCTGTAGTTATATATTTGAATATTAACGTTATATGATATATAATAAATCAAAATTCTAAATAATATGTAATAATTAATTGTTTTCATTTTATAATAGTAATTTATCTATTTAATATTTAATGATAATAGAAAAAGAAATCAATGAATAGAAAGAAGAAGATAAATTATATTTAAATGAATGAATATATTAAACATTTAATAACAATATTATTAAAAAGAACAATGATGAAATGTATTTATTAATAATATTTTTATTTATGATAAATTTGTAATATATTGTAAAATATTTGATTAACTGTTTCTAAATATCATATTTTATACATTAAATTATTAATTAAACAATATCAATAAAAAGATATAAAAATGAATACTTAAATTATATTTTATATCATATTTAAATTATATCAAAATAAACAACAAAAGAATGATAAAATAAGAAAAAATCAATAAATCAATTGAAATGAATATAAATTTATATCATAATAAAATATTAATATTATATTATAATAATTCATGAATATATTTGAATTATAACAACAAATTTAATTAATTACTTTAAATATTCACTATATTAACATAAATAGATTTTATTTCATAATTTATATTTATTTTTAAATTCAATTATTAATGATTAATAATTTAATATTGTTTATCTTTTTATTTTTGTTTGTTTAATTTCTGTTTGATATTTTATCAATTTCAATTCTAATTATTATTTCTAATATTCTTATTCTTCTATTTCAATTCTATATAATTACATTTTGTAAAAATAAAATATATTTTATATTCATTTTATCATTTTATTTCAATTTATCTACTTATATTATTTATTATTTATTCTATTCATTTATTAAATTATTATGTTTATTCTTTATTTTATATGTTTATTATCATTTTCTTCTTAATAATAAAATTTATTAAAATATCTTGTTTATTTTAATGTGTTGTTAAATATTTCTTGATTCCTTCTGGTGTTTGTTCAATTGTGTCTTTCCCTGTTTTCCAATTGATTGGACAAACTGCTCCATGTTCTTCACTAAATTGAATTGCTTTAACTATTCTAATAGTTTCTTCTGTTGATCTTCCAATTCCATCATCGTTCATTTGAATGTATCTTACTTTTCCTTTATCATCAATAATGACATATCCTCTTCTTGAAACTCCTGTTTCTACATTTAACATTCCATATTTAATTGAAATACATCTTTTAATATCTGATATTAATGGGAATCCTAATTTTCCTACTCCTCCTTTACTTTTATCTGCTTCACACCATGCTTGATGACAATAAACTGAATCAACACTCACTCCAATAACTTCACAATTGATTTCTTTCAATTGTCCTGCAACTTCACTATATCCAATCATTTCTGTTGGACAAACAAATGTCCAATCCAATGGATAAAATAATAACACAACATATTTCCCTTTATATTCATTAATATCAATTTCTTTGATTGAACCACATGGACAATATGCTTGTGCTTTAAATTCTGGTGCTTCTTTTCCAATTTGTGCTTTTTCAAATGTGTACATAAATTTCTTAAATGCTTTAATTCTTGGACAACAACATTCTTTCTTACAATACTCTTTACAACAATACTCTTTACAACATTCTTTCTCTTGACATTCTTTCTTACAACATTCTTTTGTTGATTACAGGACATTTAACTGTTTGAAATGATGAGATGTTTAAATAACAAATGAACTACCAAAACCATCTTTACATAATTAAAATAAGAATGTCATCATCATCACATGTGCATTCTTATCATTCTGTGATTTATTCATCTCTCTTTCTTCTTATAATGAATGAACTGGTAAATAGAAAACAAAAATGACAAGATAAAAAAGAAATCGGAGATACACAAAATCACTCATTCGAAATGGTTCTATTGAAGAATATGATGAAGAGAAAGATGGGTGTATTGGTACAAAACATCAATAAGAAACAAAGAAACAGAGATAAAAGAGAAAACAAAATAAGAAGAGAAGTGAATATTAGAATAAGAGATAAAAGATAAATAGAAAAAGAATAAATAAGAAGAAAGATAAAAGAGAACATACAAAACATAAAGAAATAAAAAGTGATAAAAGAATGTTAAAACATAAAGAAAAGAAGAATAAACAATTAACAACAATAATCAAAATATTAATAGAAATCAAAAATCATAATAGAAATGATAATATAAATTAATATAATTATATTTCAACATATTTATTATTAAATGAATATAATAATGATAAATAAGAATATAAATGAAATATAAAGAATATAAATAAGAAAATAGAAGTGTTTAAATATTTAAATAATAAAATATAACTTCAATTTGATTAAATCATAAATTAAAACATACGAATTAAATAATCAAAATAGAAATAAAACACAAAGATACAAATAAGAATGATTAATAATGATTAATTAACATAAATTAAAAGAAAATAATAAAGATACAAAATATAAATAATAAATAAATGAAATAAATAATACTTTTATATTTAACATACCATTCATTATAAATTATAATAATCATTTAATGACAAATATTCATTTTCAATATGATTTATAAATTATACACTATTTGTTAGTTAATAAGATGTTATTAGAAATGAAATTAATTTATTTCAAGATAAAATAAATAAAAATAAATAACAATAATGTTAAACAAACATAATTAGATACATTTTGATGAGAACCAAAATAAACAAAGAAATAATACATATAAATAAAAATTATAAAAATAAAAATAAATAAAATAAATTATATCAATAAAATAATGTTAAATATTTTGTATCAATAAATTAAACACTTTTTATTTCATATTTCTAATTTCTGTAACAAAAAATACATCCATTATTTCATCATTCTTTTCATCTTTTATTATCTCATTTTGAATTATTCATTTTTATCTTCTTTCATTTTATATTCTCAACATTCTACTTTTATTCTTTTCATCTTCTTCTACTTCATAACTTCACTCTTTTATATCATTCTTTCTCTTCATTTCTATTCATCTTTTCTCTTATTTCATTTTTTGTTGTCTGGATATTGACATTACATTTAAGAA